GTGACGAAGAGGTGCTAAGTCAAGACTGGTAGTTTTGATTAGAAATAAGAAAATGAACAATCACTTGTTTGAGTTTAAAATTAAAACAAGTTTAAAATGAAAAGCACAACTGTTTGAAGTTATAAAAATAGGTAGGTAACCCATGCCCCACCCCACCACAACTTAGTGCACACGTTAGGTAGGTAACCCATAGCTCGCTATGGGATAGCTTGCTACAAGGCAATTCGCTATTGAGCGACGTGGCATTTTCATGAACCTTCTTATTTGACAAGACCGTACCCGTCAGATTGCACCACATCTCCTGACTGACGGCGTAGTCCCTGCCAGCCCAGCGGATTGCATCCACATCTCTCGATAGGTGGCGGCGTGTCTGTCCTTTCCGGGTCGTGTCTCTCATTTGATTGGGTAGTATTCTGCAGCGGTTACCTGTGCAGCCCTAACAAATAACGACTGCGACAGAGGGCCAGTGGCAGTTACGCCCGATCTGACAAGAACATCTGTATTTAAAGGCCCCAGTTTCCAAGGGGCGAAAGTAATTTGAACTGATCTAGTGCTATCTGCACTTTTAGCTCTTTTTGCATTTCTTACAGCTCTTTCAGAGTTCTAACTTAAAAATCGGAGTATTCCCACTGGGTGAGCTCCTTGGGAATCCTTCACCTTCATCTTCTCAGATACCGTCCGTCGTCAGCTAGGAGTCAGGCATTCGCCAGATAAGAGTGTCTGGATCACGCTGCATCACACACGACTGACCTTAGTTCCTTAACGTGGGAGAGTCTGCAGATATATGGGTTTGATCCAAATGATCATCATCAACAATTCTAATTTACTATTACCTACTGTTTTACTTCCTTTTAAATTTTCTTCTTACTTTATCCGCTACAAATAAGCCAAACGATTTTGCACCGATGCAAAAACCATCATCGTTTCTTGTGCCTAAAATGTATTTGACAATCAACACTGCAAAAAAGAAAAAGGAGTATTTGACAAAGTTATTCTTAGATTATGTTTGGTTTAATACGAAATAAGAGAAAAACAGGAAGTAGGGTAAGGTCAGTCCAAATCGAAATTGTGATCGGATCACGTACGAGTCCGATTGACCCGCTCAACGGCTCAACCACTTACTTCCGGTCCGGATAATCCAATAAATATTTATTAATTGACAAGTATGTATTAGGTGCCTACTAAAAACCCATTGTCTGTTAGTATCCTTTTGTCAATTACTTGTACAAGTAAAATCCTCTTCACCTCAACTTCTTGTCGTTGAATAGGTTTTAGTCAATAACTCTTCCAGCTTTCTTGCTCATAAACCATCGATGCCTCAAATTCTTCCATCTGACGTTGCTTCATTATAAAAGGTTACGTTGCTTAACCTAGTTTTTAATTATTTTGCTTTTCTTGTAGTACACCTGCACTGACCCGATCCGTTGATATTGGCATATTTGCATGTGTACAGGGGTGTTTCCTGGTCTAGTTCGGTGAAATTAAAAGACGATTTTCAGATCAAATCAATAAAATAAGGTTTGAGAAAATTTTCAGGCTGAACCAAACTGTTTTGGTATTGAAACTAAATCAAATCAATCCAATGCGGTTTAGACTTAATCCATTTAAAAGTCCAAATAACAAATATGCCTGTACAAGTAACAATTAGTCTTCTAGTCACCATAAATCCATACATCCCCAAACCCTGGTGCAGGTGGGCTTCAATCACAAATCTTCACTGCAATTAAGAGGAGATCGGTTTCAGTCAGTGCAAGGCCTATTCGAACACCGCTCAAACAGTCTTTATAGCCTTTTATCGGGAATATTTCTGTACTTCCGTTCTTTATTTAATGGAGAGATATTCTCAATGCAAGGCTATAATGGTTGTTCGAATGGACTTTGCACTGACTCAATCCGGTGTCAAACAAGAGGAGATCTTACCAACCAACTTAAACCATCGTAATTGATAGACCACGTATGCATCAAATTTGGTTAGAATGGTATATTTTACTATCTTAAGGTCAATTCCATTAGTCATCAAACATAGTTTATAGAATTTATTTTATTATAGGAAAAATCTATGATGCCAGAAAATACATGATACCAACTATTTTAAGGTCAATTCCATTAATCATCAAACATAGTTTATAGAATTTATTTTATTATAGGAAAAATCTATGATGCCAGAAAATACATGATACCAACTATGTTAAGGTCAATTCCATTAATCATCAAACATAGTTTATAGAATTTATTTTATTATAGGAAAAATCTATGATGCCAGAAAATACATGATACCAACTATTTTAAGGTCAATTCCATTAATCATCAAACATAGTTTATAGAATTTATTTTATTATAGGAAAAATCTATGATGCCAGAAAAGATATGATATGGAGAGGCTTTGACCAATCACAACCCCCTTGAATTTTGGTGAAGATCCTCTTGATTGGTTTTTACTTTTATGATGTTGGTTGATTGATTGTATGTGTTTTTCTATGTTATGTCTTTCAAACCCTTTATTATATATTAATATATTTTGGTTTGGTTTCTTAAATCATATTAAAAAATCTCAAATTGAACCAAACTATTTTTGTGTCCATACCAAACAAAACAGATAATATAAGTTTGATTCAGTTTGTTTGGCGGTTAGAACATATATAATGAACATCCCTATTTGTATAATTGTTAGGCTTGGTTGAGTATTTGAGCATCTGATGGGGTTGTTGGAATGGTTTTGGGTTGATCCGAATATGTATCAAATCCATTCTGTTGATTTCTTTGGGAAAAATCTTGAATAGTACCCTAAATTTTGGGGGTTGTGTCAAGTCTGTTTTCAAATTTTAAAATGTGTCTTAGCAGTACCTCAAACTTTTAAATTGTGTTTAATAGGTCTCTACCATTAGTTAATATCATCAAGTGAGTTAGGTGTACATTAAATAATTTTAAAATGACAAAATTATCCTTTATGATATTTTTTGACCATTTTACCTATTTGATTTGAGCGTTAGAAAGAGGAAATGGGAAAAAAGGTTATGAAACAAGATACCGATAACTGTAGTTGGATGATCACCTATCCGGTTTTATAACCTTTTTCCCCTTTACTACTTTTAACATTTAGACGAAGTGGGTAAAATGGTCATAAAAATATTATAAAGAGTAATTTAATCATTTTAAAATTATTTAGTGTGCACTGGTATTGGCTAATGACCTACTAACGATAGAGACCTATTAACCACAATTTAAAAATTTAAGGTAATATAGAGACACGTTTTAAAATTCCATGACTGACTTGACACAAATCAAAATTCACGGTACTCTTCAGCAATTTTCCCTTCATTAAACTTGCGTAATCGTTCGTTCTGGCCGACGCAAAAAATATCTTGGGCGATCGGGATTTCGAGACTTCTCTCGTCCTGCGTTACTGGATAAATTTGTAGAGAGAGACTCCAAAGTCTCCAAGCGTCGCGAAGCACCGGGAGTTTTCTGCCAACATCACCATCCCGCATTTGGTCTCACCTCACGCCGAAACCCATTGGCTATTGGCTATTGCTCCTCTCTGAGTCTCTGGTGCTACGCGACGTGAAATCCCAAAAAAATATATGTCAACATTTTTTGCGAACTTTTCTGCACATCGTACGGCTTAAAACACGTGATTCAGAAAAAGCAGACAACTGACAAATTGAGAATCTCTCGTCTACGATACTGCTTTTCAGTCCATGATTTACAAGTGGCCCAAGATACTTAGTGGGGAGTCGTGCTCTTGCTGTTAGAAAATTAACCGCACACGTGTCCAATCATTATTCAGTGAAGTATAACATACCGAAGGAGAAGAAACATTCTTCGTTGAAAAATTTCATCGCGCCGTCCACGTGTTAGATCTGGATCTTATGGTCAGCATCTTTTTGTGTCCTTGGTTAATGATTGGATAATGTAATATAATAGCTTATTGATTTATAAGTTAAAAGACAGAGGCAGAATCTGTTTATGGGGTTTCTATCCATGTATCCATGTTATCCACATGTGGTGGTGTCAGTTGCGTGGTCCACTCAGTGTCCGTTCGGGACCAATAGGATGTTCGGAGCCGTTTGATTAAGAGCTAATATTAAATCTTGATCAGCCGTTGACGATAGACCCAACAGAGCTCAATGGTGAACAATTTTTTGGTTGGAAAATTGACGAATGAATATTTGCCACATGGATTAGGTTCTGATTATAACTGCTTTAAGTGGGTCCACCGTCCACAGGCCACCCAATGGGAGCGACCCTAAGGAGGACGCTAGTGATTTGGCTTATCTCTATCTGATATTCTGATTATCTGTACAAACTACTACTCAAACTGGAAATAACCGTCCTCATCTCGAATATGGTGCAGTGGTGGTGGGTCCAACCATGTGGTGGCCCTGTCATAATGAAGGCTTGATGCAATTTGGTTAATGAGTGGTTGCTGTCGTTGGATCAATAGAGGGCCCGCACTAGTGACAGTATCCAGTATCCACTGAGGAAATGGACGGTGGCCAATTGCGGATCGAAAGTGGTCCCATCATCCACTCTATCAGTAAAGATTTTTTTAAGAAGATTTCGACGACGGTGATTATTTATGACTAATAATTGAAGCTTAGCTTACCGAAAATATTATATAAAAATAGAAGCATCATTAATTTATAGTTTTCGGGACGAACCTATGGGTGTCCAAAGTCGAAACCACAGCCGTCTGATGACGGTGAGATGCACTGGAGCCACGTGTACAGAAATCGTGTGGGCGTGCTGCGGAAGCATCAGCGACTATGTATGGGTTCTGGTGGAGGTGATACGATACTTCTAATCGACGTGGATCCAGATCATGGACAATTATTATCTCGTTGGAGACCAAACTCCAAAGCAATTTAGATGGAACGACGTCGATCCTACGTGTCAGTCAAAATTAACGACTGGCCTGGGCTTGCTGTTTTGATCCGTTAGTGATGACCCTTCTAAGCACGACGACGATAAAGTTGAGGGGAGAAGGATACTTGAGAGAGAGAGAGAGAGTGGAGAGGGAGAAACGATGGGAAGCCTGGCTTACAGTTTCAGATCTTTCGATATAAATTCGACCCCTCGGATCCAGTTTCGAGCATTCAATCCGTCATTCGTGTATCCTCTCTGTTTGTCAAAGCTACCGAGAAAGCTCTGTCTTTCTGGTGTTTCTTTTCTCTTAAGTCTTTGTTTGTCCTCCAATTTTCTTGTCTATTGTTTGGTATCTGCAACATTAGGTTTTGCTGTTAACGGATTTTTTATTTGGTTCATACTCTGGGTTTCACAGATATTTTAGAAATCGTGTTCTGCCATTGCAAGCAAGCAAGGTAGGGAAAGGAGTCTAGATCTAATTCTTATAATTGCTTTCTATTTCTAGATGGCTTGAACGAGAAAATCTGACTGTTGCAGCATTGGTACAGGGAAGTGGGTTAGAACCGCTCTTCGTTGAGAAGGACGAAACACAAGAGGAAAAGGAAAAGCACAAGGAAGAGATGACGATCACGCCGGCGGTTAGGATTGCCGACCGTAAACTAGTTATCAAGGATCGCACGATCCTTTCCGGGGTACCGGACAATGTCATATCAACGTCCGCTTCTACTTCCGGCCCTGTTGAAGGTGTCTTCATCGGCGCCGAGTTCCCGGAAAGCAACAGTCGTCATATTGTATCTCTTGGTACTCTCAGGTAACATAAAATATTTTCAACTTCCCATTTTTGGTCTCTTCTCTCTACATTGATTCTGCAACCGTTTTGACAGAGATGTTCGATTTCTGGCGTGTTTCCGGTTCAAGCTATGGTGGATGGCCCAGAAGATGGGGGATCAAGGGCGAGATGTTCCTCTCGAGACACAGTTCCTGCTGGTTGAAACAAAAGAAGGATCCCACCTAGAATCGAACGATGAAAGTGAACATAACCAAATAGTTTACACCATCTTCCTCCCTCTGATCGAAGGCCCCTTCAGAGCTTGTCTCCAAGGCAACTTCCAGGATGAGCTCGAACTCTGCCTCGAAAGTGGCGATGTTGACACGAAAGCCTCCTCATTCACGCACTCCCTCTTCGTCAGCGCCGGTACCGATCCCTTCGCCACCATCACGGACGCAATTAGAGCCGTGAAGTTTCATCTGAAAACCTTCCGTCAGCGTCACGAAAAGAAACTCCCCGGGATCTTGGACCACTTCGGGTGGTGCACGTGGGACGCGTTTTACCAAGAAGTAACCCAGGAAGGTGTCGAGGCCGGACTCCAGAGTCTCGCCGCCGGTGGAACTCCTCCAAAGTTCGTGATCATCGATGACGGGTGGCAATCCGTCGGAGGGGACCAACAACAAGAGGATCTGGAAAACAAGGAGGAGGAGAAACTGCCACCGTTGCTTAGGTTGACAGGGATCAAGGAAAACTCCAAGTTTCAGAAAAAGGATGATCCGACGGTGGGAATTAAGAGCATCGTGAACATTGCAAAGGAGAAGCACGGTCTGAAGTATGTGTACGTGTGGCACGCGATCACCGGCTACTGGGGTGGGGTCCGCCCCGGTGTGGAGGGGATGGAGCAATATGGGTCGAAGATGCAGTATCCTAATGTATCGCCCGGGGTGGCCTGGAACGAACCAGGATGGAAGACCGATGCATTGGCGGTTCAGGGGCTGGGTCTGGTGAACCCGAAAAATGTCTACCGGTTTTACAATGAATTGCACAGCTACCTGGCCTCCGCTGGAATCGACGGGGTGAAGGTGGACGTCCAGTGCATTTTAGAGACGCTTGGCGCAGGTTTAGGGGGGAGGGTTGAGCTCACAAGGCAATACCATCAAGCCCTTGATGCTTCCGTGTCCCGCAACTTCCCTGACAATGGGTGCATCGCTTGCATGAGCCATAATACTGATGCGCTGTACTGGTATTTCCCCTTTCCTAGTTTCCTTTCATTTCATATCGGAACTTTGTTTACTTTTAAATTCTGATGTGGTGCGATTTATTGGATAATGGTGAACAGTTCCAAGCAGACGGCGGTAGTAAGGGCATCGGACGATTTCTACCCTCGTGATCCGGTGTCACACACGATACACATTGCATCGGTTTCGTACAACAGCGTCTTCCTCGGCGAGTTCATGCACCCGGACTGGGACATGTTCCACTCGCAGCATCCAGCCGCGGAGTACCATGGCTCTGCGAGGGCGATCAGTGGTGGGCCCCTCTATGTTAGGTAAAGCCGATACACGTTGCTATTGTGATTGGTTCCGTATCCTATCATCCTCTGGGACCTGACGTTGACATTTTGTCTCTAACAGTGACGCGCCGGGGAAGCACAACTTCGAGTTGCTGAAGAAGATGGTTTTGCCGGATGGAACGATACTCCGGGCACGGTTACCGGGTAGACCGACCCGAGACTGTCTGTTCTCGGACCCGGCTCGTGATGGTGTGAGCTTGCTGAAGATATGGAACATGAACAAGTTCACCGGAGTGCTGGGCGTGTACAACTGCCAGGGTGCAGCATGGAGCAGCGTAGAGAGGAAAAACATGTTCCACCAGACCCGATCCGAGGCCATAACGGGTGTTCTGAGGGGCGGGGACGTCCACCTCATCGCCGAGGCTGCCACGGATGCCGACTGGAACGGTGACTGTGCGGTTTTCCGGCACCGGGGCGGGGAGCTTGTAACTCTGCCCCACAATGCAGCCATGCCCATGACTCTCAAGGTCCTTGAGCACGACGTCTTCACGGTGTCTCCGATCAAGGTTTTGGCCCCGGGCTTCAGCGTTGCGCCGTTGGGGCTGATTGACATGTACAACGCCGGTGGAGCGATTGAGGGGTTGAGGTATGAAATGAAGGGTGGTGCTGCGTTGTCAGAGTTGGAGACCGGATATGGGGGGGAAGCCAACGGAATTGCTGCGCAGCCGGTGGAGAACCGGAGCTCGGAACCAGTTGGGTTGGTTCATATGGAGGTGAAAGGATGCGGTCGGTTGGGTGTATACTCGTCGGCGAAGCCCAGGAGGTGCAGCGTGGGGGCGGCGACGGTGGGCTTTGATTATGATGCATGGTCTGGGCTTTTGGTAATCAGCTTGGATCACATGCCGGAAGAGGGCCAGAAATTCCACGTTATTGAGATTGAGTTTTAATAATTAACTATATATTGATGGATGTATTATTATTATATTAGAAATATTTATTTTATTCTGAGATATCCTTTTTATTTTTGGTAGAAATGGAAAGAGATGTCAGATATCTCCATTATGGTGGGATTGATGATGTGAAATTACTCGGAAAATGAAGAAATTCTGATTTTTTTTTTTTTTTTTGCAAAAGAAAGTGATCTTCATTAAGTGATCTTAGAAATAGTTACATGAGAAGATCGTCTAGAGTCATATTGGATACATAGCTGCCCTATGCATGATATGTAAGCAAAGAGATGAGCCAGCTTAAATGTGCTGTCTATACAAAATTTATAGACAAAAAGAAAGATCTAGCATGTCTTGAACTGCAGCGATGTACTTGATCCACCCAATCTGTATTTACAAGATCTATAAGATCTGTATTACCAGAAAAGATTAGGAGATGCCTCATGTTGTTCGAGCCTGCAGCTTTGAGGCCCATTAAAAGTGCTCGTATTTCAGCATCGTAACTGTTGATGGCCCAGTAGGGGCCTCCTTCTGCAATTTGGAATCCTTCAGTGGTAATTTTTATGATGAATCCTCATCTTGCACTTACTGTATCTGGATTAAAAGAGTCATCAATAAACATGGAGGTGGTGGGTGAATTAAGTGATGGTGCATGATGAGGGGAGAGGTGAGCTTGTGATCTGATGCAAGATGATTCATCTTGTAAATAATGTTGTAGAGCCTTTTGCACTACCATTAGTGGGTCGGTAGTGGTGTTCTCGAAGAGTAGCTTGTTGTGAGCCTTCCAAATGTGGAAGGTGATCAAGCCAAACTTGCTTAGACATGATTAGGCTTGTTCTTTACCGAACTGGTTTTTCATTGCATTGTACCAATCTGATATGATGATTTGAGCCGGTTGGATTTTTAGAGAGTCGGGGTCGAATCCAATCTGGGAGCTCCACCGGACCGCTCTAGTATAGTGACATTGAAGGAAAAGATGAAAGACTGTCTCTTCTCTTTCTTTACAGAAACTACACAGCAGGTCTGGGCTTCTCAGCCACTTAGAACATTTATCCTTTGTGAGTAGTCCATCCCATAATAATTTCCAAAGAAATAATTGGAAGCGATAGGGAACCTTGAGTTTCCATAAGATTTTCCAATTGCAATGAGTGGCTGAGGCTGAACTTTCTGCATAGTTATATAGGTGGTATGCAGATTTAACTGTGAAGACTCCATAATTGTTGTTCTTCCATATAAGTAGATCCTTAGATTGATTGGGCTGGAGTGTATTGTTCTGAATGTGGGCAATGATATCCTCGTCAAAAAGTTCTTGGAGCTTTGTGCGGTTCCAACTGTGATTTGGATTTAGCAATTCTGCTACTTTGATATTTGCATTAAGATTGGGAATGTGTCCAAGTATGGATGGGATCCCATGATCAGCTACAACGGAAATATTGGAAACCGTACTTGACAACCCATAGTAGATTGGATTTCATGGTATTAGAGACCCGATGAGCATGTTTCCACCAACATGAGCTTCTTTGTCCTTTCTTGGCCGCAAAAAGATAAGTATTAGGGAAGTATTTCTCTGTTATTAGTTTACTCCACAACCCATGCATCTCTGTGAGCAAACTCTAAATTTGCTTGCCAAACATGGGTTTATTCATTTCAGCACTTGTTCGAAACCCAGCCCTCCGTGAGCTTTAGGGCGACACAGTTTTCGCCAGGCCATAGTGTGATGTGTGATATCTTTGGCGTTAGACCACCAGAATGTTCTACTTGATTTATCGAGTTTGGATGTCACAGCTCTTGGAAGGATGGTGGTTGACATGGTGTAGGTAGGGATTGACTATAGGACTGATTTGATGAGAGTCGTTCTTCCAGCTTGTGATAATAGCTTGGTACTCCACGCATTGATCTTTGAAGAGACTCGGTCAATTACTTCTTTATGAGAAGTTTGCAATCTATTATTCACTAGTATAGGAGAGCCCAAGTACTTAGATCTTGCCATAGATGACTTGACCTTTAGTGAGTGAGAGAAGAATTTTTTGTGCTGCCTTGGGACATTTTTGCTAAAGAATATACTGGATTTGACATAATTTATCTGTTGGCCAGATAAGGATTCGAACATTTTGATGATGTTGACCAGAGCTCTAACTTGTGACATGTCCGTTTTACAGAAGATGATGCAATCATCAGCAAAGAGCAGGTGTGTGATGGGAGTGCCATTAGGACAAAGGGTGACCCTTTCAATGCTGCTGAGTTGGAAGCTTGAAGTACGAACTATGAGAAGACCTCCATACTAATGATAGATAACTATGGGGATCACCTTGTCTTAAACCCCGGTTCAAATGAAAATGTTCATATGCTTCTCCCGCAGTTTTGATTGAGAGGGTGGATGTGGAGATGCACTAATGAATCATGTTGCACCGTTTTGCTAGGAAACCCATTTTTTGTAAGACATGATATAGAAAGTACCAACCCATCCTATCAAAAGCCTTAGACATATCAAGTTTGAGAGCAATGAAACCTTTCCCTCTTTTCTGAGTTTGCATTTTATGTAGGATCCCCTTTGCTATGAGAATGTTGTTTGTGATGTGTCTGCTCTTAAGAAATCCTGATTGAAAGGGTGATATCACCTGTTGCAGAATAGGATGCAAACCAAGCACCATCCATTTGGAAATGATTTTGTAAAGAACATTGCATAAGCTGATTGGCCGGTAGCTGGAAGTGTCCACTGGCTTATTATTTTTGGGGATGGAGACTATGTTTGGGTTATTTATTTCCTTGGGTAAGTGTTCATAGTTAAAGAAGTTTTGAACCATGGAGAGGATGTCATGTTTGAGCACTTCCCAGAAATGTTGATAAACTATGCCGTGAAGCCATCTAGACCTGGTGATTTATGAGGACTCATTTCTTTTATTACCGAAGCCAGTTCTTCAAGGTTTGGGGGGAGGAGTAAAGCTTCAATTTGCTGGGCAGATAGCATGGGCAGGTTAATGTTCTCTAGCAGATTTGGGTTAAAGCTTTCCGGCTGGCCTCCCGTGTTCAAGATGACATTTTTAAAAGTGAGAGCTATGGTTCCCCGATTAGATGTCCAGTAACCATCTGTTGCTTTTAACCATTCCACACTATTTTTGGTGTTTCCTGAGATTAGCCATTCAGTAAAAAAAAAATTGTGTTTTTGTCCCCTTCTCTAAGCCAGAGTTCTCGGGATTTGAGTCTCCATAATTGCTCTTCTTTGAGCAGCCAATAATGGTACTGCTTTTTGAGGGAATTTAGTAGCTGGTGTTGCTCCTCGTTAGCATGGGACATTTGGATGCTGGAAATTTTATTAGAGAGTGTTTGAATGTGGTCCTAAATCAAACCAAAGTGGGATTTGTTCCAATCTTGAAGTTGGGATTTGCATTCTTTCAATTTTTTTTTTGTGACTTGATGAGCTACTGAACTGTAATCTTTTGGTCCCAAATTTGGGTGATAATTTCTTTGCATTATGGGTATTTGGTCCAGAAAGGTAAGAAATGGAATTGAGGTCTTCTGAGTGGTGGGGATGGGTTGGTATTTATACAAATGGGACCATGATCTGATGAGGTGATGGGGAGGTTGTGAAGAATAGTGTGGGGGAAGAGAGAACACCATGAGGAAGTGGCTAAAGCTCTAAATAGTCTCTCCAAGACTTTTGCGTAGCCTTGTTGGCCATTAGTCCAAGTGAAAGATGGGCCAATGAAATCCAGACCTATTTGGTTGAAGGTGCTGATGAAGTGTGGTAGAGCTTTAGTTAGAATGCGGCTGTTGTTTCTGAAAGACTTGTGGTCCTCCGGTCTGTATATATCATTTAAGTCTCCCATTAACAGCCAAGGCTGACTTGTGGATGACTGCAGTTGAATTAAATCACTCCACAATATTTTCCTTTGATGCCTGACCGGGTGGCCATAAAAAAGGAGAAGTTGTCAGGATTGATTTGGGGGGCAATTTTTTATTTGCAGTTGGATTATATGGGGGTGTGTTTGGAGAACTTCTATATCTAAGGGATTCGACTAGCAACACAATAGACCTCCGGATAAACCAACTGCTTCCCAAAGTGCATGGTGTGAAAAACCTAATTTTTTAACTAGTGGTGAAGTTTTGGACAAATTACAGTATGTCAGGTTTCTCTTTGTGGCACAGTTTGGAGAGTTCTCTAATTTTCTTGGAGTCATTAACTCCCTTTATGTTCTAGGCAAGTATTTTCATAATGTATGTAAAGAAAATGTTGAATGCCGAATGCGTAATTAAAAATAAATATAAGAAATTAAAAAGAAAATGCAAGGTGGAGCATACCTGGGTAGGTTCAAAGTGTGAGAGAATCAGGTTGGTGAAGTCAATGGTGTAATAGCAATCCTCCAAGCAGCGCTCCATCGGGTAAGTGACTGCCTCTGGATTGATGGTGTAAGGGATGGGAGGGGGTGTTGGGTCTGGTTCGGATGAGGGTATAGGTGGAAGGAGAGTGGTTTTGGATAGTATGTATTTTGGGGGAACCAACTGTCCGGTAAAGAAGTTAGCCACTTGTCCATACTTTACTGCTAATAGAGTGTTGGAGGAAGGGTCCATATAGTAGCTACGTGGGCGACCACGTTTTCTCTTCCCAGTAAGTAAATTGATTGTGCATAAGCCCCCTGTTTTGGTAAGGTAGTGGGCTATCAAATCCAGTTTCTTGTCATTAGGCCACTTGGTTTGGTTATGATTAGCATGCAGGTTCGACATACTTGCATGACGGCCACGTATTGACTTGGAGGGAGTGCTGATCGGAAGGGACTTGGTGGGATTCTCATGCATGCGCGAGTTACTGGAGATGAGCATGGGATGTTCACTGGAGTTGTTGATACAACGTCTTTTCCGACCACCTGAACCGTCTTTAGAATCCTCATCCGAGCCATGTTCACTATGGTGGACTCTGCAAGAGTCTGGTTTGGCCCTGTTCAGGTTAAAGACTGGGAGAGTGAAGGGTTTCTTTGTGCGGAACTCTGCCCTCAACCATTCACCGGGGTTGTCGATGGTTCTCTCTTTAAGCAGTTGTCTGTAATCCACAGTTGTGGAGATAAGTCGCTTGTAGTTCGTCCAAACATGGCTGATGAGGCCACAATTTGCACAGAGACGAGGGAGTTGCTTGTAACAAAAACGGAGCCAAATCGGCTTACCCTGATAGAATATGAAGCGTCTTGTGCAAAGGGGTTTGCGAAGATCGATAATAATTTTCTTGCTAACATACAAACCCTGGATTAAGTGGCCTGTTGGAATTTTTTCCTAATTGGGGACTATTTCTCTTGCTACTTGTGCGAGAGAGCAAACCCTGCTATCCCCGAATGTCCCTCTGGGTAGCATGTGTATTTGCAACCATAGC